AAAAAAAAAAAAAAAAAAAAAAGATCGGGCTCTTTGAAACACTTGTGCAACATTCTCCACATAAATGGCCACTTTAAACAATGGCTGGTGTGTAACCAGAGGGTAACTTCACTAACTGTATCAATTCACACAGACACTGTCCACAGTCCTCAGTGTGAACAGTGAGAAGCGAAGCTGCCAAGCTGGTTTTTCTTCTGCAGACTTTGTTCAGTCCTTCCTCCCACAACCCATGTATTCTCCATCTTGTTCACCCCCTACCCTGGAAGGCAGGAAACATCACCCCCGCCTCCCAACTGTGCACAGGATTCAGGCCCATATGCTGTTAATGCGCTGTGCCTGCTCTACAGATATAGAAACGGAGGCTCAGGAGACTAGCGCTCTGAGCCCATGAACAGCAGAGCTGGGATTTGGACCCAGGCCCAATTCTGGCTGCATTTCCACTACTATAAATGAACAGGGATTTGCATGTAAATGCCCGGCACAAACGCTGGCACACAAATTAGGTCCCAGAGCTTTGTGCTGCAAAGTCACCCCAAATGAAGGTATTTTAGATGGGGGGGGAAGCAAGAGTCTCACCGAGAGGGGTGGCAGTGGGTGGTCCCTCAGCTTGAAGACACACCTGCAACACAGGAAGGACTTGGTGACAGCCGAAGTACAGATAGTGTGGGAGGGTCCAGAAACATCAAAACCAGGGCCCCTCAGACCCCCAGGTGTCAAAGGTCCTGGGGCGCACTGCATCCTCAGGGGTGATCAGAGCCCAGTGCTGCGCATCATGGGAGCCCAGGTCCCCACTGCAACCAGGTCCACGGCCCCTCACCTTCAGGACCAGAGAGGCCCAGCTAACTGCACTCAGAGACAGGCAAGCACAAAACCCATCCGGAGGGCAGGAGGGTCCACAACTCTTCCTATGGAGACCCCAGGCTCCCCTGCCTCCCCAGGGGACTGTCCTCACACCTCCTACATGGACAAAACGCAGGGTCTACCTCCCCTTGCCTAGTTTTGCAGGTTTTCAGCACTGGCTACACCTGCTAGTAACCCTCAACAGTGAAAGCTGCTAAGGCGCAAACCCCTTGGAAGACCCCACAGGGGAGACAAGGAGGGAGCTATCGTAGAGAGAAAAAACAAGCCTAGGATACGAGTAGCACACACGATGACCGGAGACCCTTTACTGCAGCCATCTGGGAACAAATCCGCGGGAGGAAGGCATTTTGGAGAGGCCCCCAGAACTACACACACAAAGCACCCAGGAGATCGCATTATTCCTGGTGAAATTAAAAACGTGCTTTCGACCAGGCAGAGATAAAGCAAGCAAGGCAAAATGTTAAATTTATGCGTACTTCCCGGCATGTTTGAGGATCTTAATAAGTAAAAAAAGGGGCTGAAAAAGGAATACATCGGAAAATGGCGAAAAGGCGCGCCAGTGATGGGGGAGAGAAGTCCTTCCACTTGTGACAAGGCAACAGGATAAAGTTCGACGGATTTTCGGGGGGCTGCCTGAAGAGAGCAGCTCCGCTAGGGAGGGTTTTGGCTGGGTCTTCGTGGGGAGACAGAAGTCCAAGACCTTAAGGGCCAATTAGCCCAGAAGTCACGTGTCACCAAACGGAAGCATGGGGTCAACACAAAACTGTGGTATTTGGAGGGATCGGGTCAGAATGATTCCTGAGGATAAAGGCCCTACTTGCTTTCTCCTAAGATCGCTCCCATGTGGTTCTCAGAAACCCAGTAATTCATTTAGAGAGTCCACTTTAGTTCTTAGTAAACCCGGAGATCCTGCTTCTGCCTCCCCCATAACCTTTATTCTAGGTTCCACAAAATGCCAGCCACGTGTAATAGAAAAAATAACAGCGACTTCCTAAGGGAAGCTCATGGAGCCAGCACAGGAGTGGAAACCTCAGAAAGAAAAACTCGGTGTCACACGCGCTCCCCACCCCCCCCCGCCCCCAAGAAAAAGGACAAAATGGCGGAGTCCTGCGAGGAGGAAAGCAGAAATGGCGCAGCCCGGCTGCGGTGCAAGCCTTGAAAACCCTCATTCACCCCGGCGGCAGAGGTCTTGCCCACCCTGAGGGCCCCCAATGGGCCGCCGGCTTCTTGGGAGCCACTGCCCACCCAGCAGAGAACCCCAGGCTCGCCTCGGAGCGCGCGCTGGGGTCTCATAAAGCCCCTGACTCCGTCCACACGACAACGCGGTCGCCCCGCAGCAGCCCCGGGCACCTCACGACATGAGCGATCCAGACCCCAAAGCCCAGCCGCGCAGACGGAAAAGAACCAAAAGACAAGAAGAGCTCACCCAGCCCTCACTGTCTCCAAAGCGTGCGCGGGTGTCCTCGCGTCCCGCTTTATAGTGCGCGCCGCTCGCAGGGCCCGCCACAGGCCGCAGCTCGGGCTCCGCCCCGAGGCGTCCAGAGCACACGCCGGTGTCGGAAATCCAGCTTTGGTACTTGGGAAAGCGAATAATGCCTGTGCCCGGTAAAATCTTCCTAAAAAGACGATACGGTTTTGTCCCTGGAGGCGTAAAAAAAAAAAGTGGACTATCAGTGTCCACTGTCTTCTCATGAGAGTCAGGCGATTCCAAGGACAGCACCAAAGGAGGACTGTAAAGGGGAAGGACCCCGAGCGAGGGCAGAGCTCAAAGGGAGGCTCCCGGAATTGCCAGCGCGGCCTCGCGTGCTGCGGCTGGAAGGGGCGGGGCCGACCCAGGCGGAGTCCAAGCGCAGAAGTTGGAGGCGGGGCCAGAGCAGGGGCGGGGAGGGAGGCGGGGCTAGTGGAAGATTGACGGCAGGTCGTTCTGGGCAAGTGCTAACGTGGCGCAGAATGACAGCCTAGTCCTGCGCTGCAAGGGAGGTGGCCTGAGCCTGGATGCCGGGGCGGGAAGGCTGACTTCTGGATCTAAGGGAGGAGGAGGATGGGGGTGTGGACTCCTGGGTCTGAGGGAGGAGGGGGCTGGGGGCCAGGACAACTGGACTGAGTGAAGGGCGGATGTGCCCCCCCCTCAAGCCCCCAGTTATAAGACCTGGGGGCTTGTATTCTTGGTCGGGAGGGTTGGAGCTCTAAGGAGTGTCTTTCAGCTGACATGGCTGTAAATATTTTTTTTTCAAAGATAAAAAGGGAAACTTCTCTACTTCAAACCCACTCACCAGAGTCGCCACTGTTAACAATGTGGTGTGAACTTTATATTTTATGGCTGTATACGCACATACACATGTTATGGGTAACGATTTTTTTTTTTCATTCCAATTTGTCCCATAAATAGTCTACCCTGGATTAGTACATAGTGACCTCTTTCCTTAAACGGGGGCAAAGTATTCCCTTCTATAAGTGGAACACACATTGTTTAGCTGGTCTCCTCAATCATTTGGGTTGTTTTCTTCTGGTCAGGAGACGCCTTCCATGAAACTTATAGTTTGAAGTAAAAGGAACAGACCTATATCCTTATGTTAAGCGTTTCCTTTACTGGCTTTTGCCTTACCCAGACTAAAAAGCAGTCTTCACTGTGGCCCACAAGGCCCAGAGTGACCTAGCCCCTGTCTCCCCCTGCCTTGCTCAGGATGCACTAGAAATTGGCTTCCCTAGTCTTCCTGGAACCTGCCAAGGACATTTGTACCTCAAGACCTTTGCACTTGCTGTTCCCCCTGCTGGGAAACCTTTCCCCCAGTCTATCTCCATGGCTCTCCTCTCTTCAATCATGTCTGCTTAGATGTTACCTCGGCATAGAGCCCCTGCCTCTTCCCAGACCCATCTCTATTCCCCTCCTTTATTTTTCCTCATGGCACTTATCCCTAACATATCTGTTTGTGGGCATATGTTTTTGCCTCCCTGCTGAAATGTCAAGCCATAAAAACAAGGATGTGTGTCTAGTTTGATCACTGCTGTAGATCCAGTGTCTGGCATATAGTTGCAGCTCAATTTTCATTAAAGATAAACAAATTTGAGAGCCTTTTGAAGGAGAGAAGCAGGAGGATTATTTTAGCAACCCTTAATGAGCACAAACTAGATGTTACGTTAAACTCTATCTAGGTTGAAGTACTATCATGACTCCCATTTTACAGATGAGGAAACTGAGACCCAGATGGGTCAACACCTGGACCACAGGTCACAGAGCTAGTAAGTGGCAGAGCCTAGACTCAACCCTTCCAGCTTAACCACTGTGTGAAAGGGAGAGAGAGGAGACCCCTCCAGGTCAAGGGCCTGTTGGGGGACCCAGGTAATGACATAAATTTGTACTTGAGTTTCAACCATGTCCTGTTTAGCAAATGATTCTGGTGGCAAAAATATGTTACATGGAACAGCCTTAAAAATGGATGGGTGGGTGGATAGATAGATAGATAGATAGATAGATAGATAGATAGATAAACAGTTGTAAAGAAGAACAGCCCTGTGTTGGAGTTTGGGGAGAAGAAAGAAGAGATGATGACAGGGGCTGCTGGTAAGAGCAGAAGTGAAGTGTGGGTGCAGGGAGAGTTTCCCTCAGGAAGGGCACATTACTGGGGGTCAGGGAAGTAAAAGATGAAGCTCTAAGGGCTTGGAGAGAATCAGCTATTCAACAAATATTGATTGACACCATTTGTATGTACGCCAGGAACCATTGGCACAGCCTTTTGTTGACCGTGTGCCTTGCGCCTCTTTCGCCTAAATCCCTTCCCTCACCTACCCCTCTACCCCATAGGGCCCAAGAGATGGACCCAGGGAGAGATGGCATTTCCATAGAACACTTAGAAGGTACTGAGCTTAAAGAGAATATTCTGGGCAAAAAGTATAGATGATTTAAATATACAGATTATTAATCTGAGTGGGGGGATTGAGAGGGGAATGAAAAGGGCAAGACTCTCAGTGGGGGTGAGGGACTAGAGAGTAGGGTTGTCAAGTGCTTGACAGGGAGCTGTGGGAGCAGGCCATAGGTGGGTCATTTCCTGTGTCTTAAGTCCAGATGGCCTGGAGCGCCAGGATGGACCAGAAGTTCATGTAGTTCAGATAGGAAAGGAAACCTGAAGAAGGAAGAGAGCAGAAGGGGTGAGGTGCAGCATTCACACCCCACCCCAGATCCCAATTCTCTCCCCAGGCCCAATCACATCCCTACCCTGTCCCCAGTCCATTTCCCAACCCATCCCCACACCCACGCCTATGCCCATCTCCACCCTCATCTCCCCAGTCCTGTCTCCCACCTCAGCCCCCTCTTGTCCAGCCCTGTCCATAACCCATCCTCATCCCAAACTCTGTCGCACTCAGTCCCTATCTGTATCCCTGATAACCCATGCCCAAACCCAACCCTAGCCCAGCCCAGACCACTCATCAGGAAGAGAAAGACGCCGGTCCACGCCAGGTAGAAGCTGAGTCCCAGAGTGTAGGTCATGCCTTCCTGCAGGTACTCATGGGCCTGCATCAGGTAGAACAGGACACCCAGTATCATGCTGGTCCCTGCATGAGTACAGGTGTTAGGAATCTGGCACCAGGTGTGTGCAGACCCCTGCCCAGAGTCATGTGGCTGCTTGACTTTTGCTCAATATTCTCCCAGTTTCTTTCACTTCCCTGTACCTCTGCGCACAGGCAGGAAAATAGGCTCCTGAGAATATCATGGTAGAGCACATTGGGACCATTGGGTTGTGTCTACAACCATGGGCTTTGGGGCCAACCAGACCAGAGCTCTTGTCCTGCCTCTCCCTCCCACCTTAGGGTAACTCCTCCATCTCTCTCAGCCTCATTTCCCTCATATGTAAAATGGGCATAGTCCTAGGACTCATCTCCATGGGCTGTCATGAGGAGTTGTTGAGACTGGCACACAGTGAGCCCACAAGAATGTAGATTGGTTATTGTCATTGTATTGGGTTTTTAATTTTGGGCTTCTGAAGGAGTGGACTAAGAACCCACTCATTCTGCATATTTCAACTTAAAACATTTTTTTAAATTCTTTAAAAAAAGACCTGGGTCATTTTTTCTTTATGCTATTGAAAAATAATATAGGAGGTGTTTTTCATTTAATTAAAAGGAATGAGGAGAATTTTTTTTTTTGTAGAAAAATGTCTTATATTAGATGACATAAAACTGAGGTGCTTTCTACCCTTTGTAGCTTATATGTAAACAGTTGGGAAGAGCTACCAGACAAATTGGATAAATACTATTTGCAAACAAGGAAACAGGAAGTTGAAGGTTTCCTATTTTTGACTTTTTTCTATCATTGTCCAGAAATGTTTTCCTGATAAAACTAAAAGTTGTGGTCAATCATTACAAATGACAGAAACATAATACCCTTTATTTCCAAATTAAAGTGCCACCCTACCTCCTTTTCTAAAAAGTATGATTCAACATGCACATGGAAAAATAGACTAATTCTAATCAGGTTATCAGTTTTGAGATATTTGGGTCAGGTGGAAGAATTAAATTGTGCACATTTAAATAGCTTCTACCAGGTACCAACATTTTCTAATTCAGTCCTCACTATATCTCCACGTGATAGGAAATTTACCCCCAATCTGCAAGAGAAATCTGTGGCTCAGAAAGATTAAGTAGCTTGAACAAAATCACAGAGCTGGTGGTAAGGGGTGGAGAAAGGATTTGGGATGAGTCAGAACTGGAAATGGGTATTGGGTAGAGGTTGAAGTTTGAGTGATCAAGATGGAAGGTGAGGTTGGGGATGGGTTTTGGTTGAGTTTGAAAGTGAGGTTCACAGGTGATAGAGTTGGGTTGGATTTGGAATGAGTGTTGAGATTTGGAAAGGGGTTGGGGATGGTAAGGGGGATGGTTTGGAGATTGGAAAGAGATAGAATTGGAATGGAGGGTGGGATGGGGATGGACATCACAAAAATGAATACCGTTGAGTTTGAGATTTGTGGGTGATAGAGATGACAGGTGAACTGGAGGCTGATATTGGGGCTGGAGATGAGATTGTATTGGAAGTTCATATTTTTTTTTATCAGGATTGATTGGAGATTTGGAGGGAGATAGAATTGGGATGGGCAATGAATGTGAGGATGAGAACAGCGTTGGGATGTGGTGGGGAAGGGGTCGGATATCATCATGGGCCCTGGGCAAGGCACTCCTCGCCATGGTTTCTGAGGGATAAATCTCAGTGCCATGCCTGTCAGGATGCTGATGATGACGTTGGAGAAGTCCAGCATGGGTATTTTGGAGCTGGTGAAGAAGATGATGTTTATGAGTATGGTGCAGAGGCAGATGCTGGTGATGCTGGCGAGGATGAGAAAAGCCCAGGCAAAGTCCAGCAAGTCTGGGGAAGGAAGAAAATCAGAACACCAAGAGGCCCTCCGACCCTGAGCATGGGGAAAGGGTCCCCAGTGAGGTTGGGACTATTCCTGAACCCTCTCCCTTGCAAATTCTTCTTCCTCATTAAAATAATTGAAACTGGACTGTAGAAAAGGGATATTAAGGCAGATGCCTTTAGCACTGAGGGCATACCTCTGCGTCAGTGAGAACAGGTTCTTGGGCAATGAGAGGTGGCTTGGGAATTGAGGAACCAGCTCTGTGTGATGAGGAAAGATTTCCTGGGGTGAAAAAGTCTCAGGATAATGTGTAAGATCCTAAGGCTAAGAGGATTGTGGGGATCTTCATGTAACTGAAGATGAGCATAGGGCAATGGGGATGATCCTGGGGCAATGAGGACCATCTGGGGGAAGGGATGATGATCCAGGGGTAGTGAGAACTATCCCAGAGAAGGGAAGACTAACCCTGGGCAGTGAGGACCATCCCAGGGAAGGCAGAGAAGGGTCCCTGGGACAAAGAGGAGATGAGTCCCAGGAAGGGTTAGTATAGGGTAGGCCTTACAAGCATTCTGGTCGTACTCATGGAGGCAGGAGATGTCAGGGCACCGCACAAAGAAGATGGTGTTGATGGAGATGAACAAGGGGCCATCAGGATCCCCAGGGGGTGTCAGTGGCACCTGGAAGTGGATCCAGGGCTGGCCCAGAGTGATGAGACCGATGATCACCATGCCAGCCAGGCACAGTGCCAGGCTCACCTGACGGCTGATCTTCTTGGCTCTGTGCAGCAGCCGCCAGCACAGGGGCAGCTGTGATTGGCTGCATTTACTTTTCCTCTGATACCTGTAACAGATTGCACACCACCACTGTCAGCACTGAGTGCAGCCATCCAGCCCAGCCACCCCAGTCCAGCTGCCAGACCATGACCCACCTAGTCTAGCCTTCAGACTATCTTCTCTATATCCATCCTCACTGGCCTGTGTCTTCCAGGTCCTGCCTGTAGAACATACTCACCCATGTTTAGCCTCTAGTTCCCTTGCCTCCAGATCTAACTTCCAGACCCTGCCCCAAGTTCAGTTCCTAGGTTGAATTACAGGTCCGGCCTTTATGCCATGCACTACCCAGGGCCAGCCACACTTGGGTCCAACCTCCAGTTTCTGATAGACTGGCTTTGCTTCTGGTCACTGACCTTTTGACTGCTGTCCCTCCCCCAGAATCCTAGCCCAGAACCTGGCCCACTGCCTGGACCCCCACTTCTCACCTGCCAGAATCCATCTCAGCAGATCTGTTTGACTGTATGCTCTGGATATTGTCTAGAGTACTTGGGTTGGATAGGAAACTGTCCAAAGAGTCTCTGAAAGTCTCGTGGGAGGTCCAGATGACTGAGTCAACACTTTTGATACTGGCTGTGGGGCTGTGAGTAATTGAAGGGGGGACATCAACTTTGGCCCGGACTTGCGATTTGAGGCATTGAGTACTCGAGCAGGGATTCTGGTTTGTTGGAAGATGGTCTTGGTTAATGACTTGATTACCACTGTGGATAATGGATTCTATATTGGTCAGGGAAGTGTGAGGAAGTAATGGAGAATTTTGGATGGTGAAATGGCGAGTTTCGAAAATTGGTGAAACATCTCTGGTACTGAAATGGTGACTGTAGGTAACTGACGATGTGTCTTGGATACCTGGCTGATGACTGCTCACAGTGGATGGCATGTCCTCAGTACTGACCCAGCGACTGTTGATAATGGGTGGTGCATCTTGGATATTGGTCCTGCGACTGTGGACTAGTGGAGGGTCTTGGAAGCTGATGCGGCGATTGTGGATAATGGACAAGGGCTCTTGGATGCTGACCCGGCGGCTGTTGATAATGGGTGGGGGCTCTTGGATGCTGACCCAGCGATTATGGATAGTGGGCTGAGAGCCTTGGATACTGGCCTGGGACTTGTAGGTAATTGGAGAGACTTCAGTCTCATTTTGAGTATTACTGGGAGCTGCTGGAAGGAAACTTGGCTTGTTGCTCTGGGGGCTAGACTGGGGCCTCTGGGACATGTGGGGATGCAGGGCAAAGCCAGTCCCCAGGTGCACTAAACAGCCTGCCAACTGCTTCAGCCCTTCCTTTCAGACATTCCCATGGCCACCTGGAAATCTGTTGGTCTCCCTCCCAGGTTCAACCTCGGTCTTTTGTGGTTTGGATCTCTCTGACCCTTCTTCTGTGTCCTCTGGTCTCTCCTGCTGCCCACAGGCAGGCCTCAGGGCTTCAGTCTGGCCTGCAGCTGGGGTTGAGGGGAAGTTCCATGACAGTTGGAGGGATTCCAGGAGGTCGGGACATTGGCCATGGACTCGTGCGCTGCCCTGTGTAAGTGACATGGGGGCTGTGGCTGGGTCAGAGTGGGTTACATGTGAAGTACAGGCAGGGTTAGGATTGGGTCAAGAAGAGGTTATGGTGGGTCTGAGAGATGTCAGGACTGAGTAAAGGTGGGAAGGGGGGAGGGAATGACCAGGGTAGAGAAAGGGCAGGGTCAGAGAGGCACCAGAATAGGGTGAGGGCTGGGCAGGGCTGAGCCAGCACTGGGACACGCACCAGCATCTCTGAGATCAATTCTTACAGTTTCCAGAGGGCCTGAGATCTGAATTTGTAACTCCATTCCCCTACCTGCCCCTACCTCACCCCACTCCCAGGGCCTTTCCTGAATTGATATCTTCCTTTTATTCCCTTTTCGAGTTCAGTGTCTCTCTCCTTTGTCTCTTTCTTCACCTTTTCCTGAGGCCTCAGGGACCTATTCCCTGACCTCAAAGACCTCCAATCCAAGCTTGGGAGGAGAGGCAGAACAGCCACAGGTTGAGGAGGGCTCAAAGCGATCTGTGGGAATGCAGGCACCCCAAGTACCTACAGCCTTTCCAGTTAGGAGTGGAGATTTTTCCAACTTCCGTCCCTCCCTCCTTCCTTTTTGCTCTTGTAGCAGATTTTTGAGAAACAAACAAATAAGCAAACGAACAAAAAAGAAAGTAAAAGAAAAAAAAAAGGAAAAAAGGAAACCCACAAACTTTTATGTCTTTAATCACACAAATATCCATCTAACTCCTCATTTGTCAAAGGACGTAATGATACTTTAGAGGGTTGTTGTAAGGACGAAATGTAAAAGCATCGAGGACCCATTGTAATAGAAACCTGTTGAATTTTTTACACTTTACGGATACTGATTTTGACTCTCGAAGTTACTTTCTCCATCCCCCAAAGCTTGTGCCTGAGTCTGAGACCCAATCTCCTCTGAAATCCATATTGAGACATGTCACAGGACAGGAAGGAATTAGTACAACTAGATGCCATGGATGTGTCTACCAGTTCATATACCCATGCATTCAATCATTACCTTTTTAAAAATGCTTATTTTTGGGACGCCTGGGTGGCTTAGTCGGTTGGGCGTCCGACTTTCGCTTAGGTCATGATCTCGCGGTTCGTGGGTTCGAGCCCCGCGTCGGGCTCTGTGCTGACTGCCAGCTCAGAGCCTGGAGCCTGTTTCCAATTCTGTGTCTCCCTCTCTCTCTGACCCTCCCCTGCTCATGCTGTCTCTTTCTCTCTCCTAGAAATAAATAAAACATTAACAAAAAATGCTTATTTTTATTTTGGGGGGGAAGTGGGGGGGGGGGAGGGGCGGGGAGAGAGAGAGAATCCCAAGCAGGCTCCACACCAGCAGTGCTGAGCCTGATACAGGGCTTGAACCCACAGACAGTGATCATGACTTGAGCTGAAATCAAGAGTGGGAAGCTTAACCAACTGAGCCACCCAAGTGCCCCTCACTTGTTACCTTTTTTTAAAAAATTTTTTAAATGTTTTATTTATTTCTAGGAGAGAGAGAGAGACAGCGTGAGCAGGGGAGGGTCAGAGAGAGAGGGAGTCACAGACTGAAACAGGCTCCAGGCTCTGAGCTGGCAGTCAGCACAGAGCCCGACGCGGGCTCGAACCCACGAACCGTGAGATCATGACCTAAGCTAAAGTCGGACGCTTAACCGACTAAGCCACCCAGGCGCCCCTGTTGCCTTTTTTTAATTTAACAACTAGCAAAGGCCCTGTACCAGGTGATAAGTGTGCAATGGGAAAAGGAAGAGATCTGTTCCCTACCCTCAAGAGGGTCTGTTGGGGAAGGTGGGCAGGGAAAAAGATAGTGAGATAAGGGATGCCAGTGAAGGAGACTTGCATGTTGCACTGTGGGAGCATTTGGCGGGCAACCTTGCCAAGAACTGAGGTAGGGCTGGGGTTGGGGGCTCAGGATGGGAGGTGTGGGAGGAGTGGCATGGGGGGTGAGATCTAAAGGGCGGTTAGGGCAGTCTGGGCACAGGTGGAAGAAGAGCGCCCCAGGCAGAAGGAGCAGCCTGGACTGCTTGTTGAATTGCTGAGGCAGGGAAGCTCTCGGTGTGAGAGGAACCCTGTGTAGTCTAAAGTGGCTGGAGGTTAAGTGAGCAGTGGGAGGGACAGGGGGCTTGGTGAACACAGGGTGAGCCCCTGGCGGTTCCTTCTGTTGGCCCCATGGGTCTTGGCCTCACGAGCACACTATGGAACCCATGTCGTAGTTGTCTGTGTCCTGGATTGGGATTTGTGACAGGGGTCTGGAGAAGCAGTTGAGGTTGAGGGCGGAGATGGAGCTGGGGTTTGGGGAACAGGGACTGGAGGCTGGGGTTGGAAACCAAACAAGTAGGTTTGAGCATCGAATGGGATGTGGGAGAGGGCTGGGCCGGACATTAGGGTTAGAGATGGGAATGAGGATGCATTTGGAATCAGAGATGGGGATGAGGTTGGGATCGGGGTCTGGGTGGGGATGGAGATGTGGCTGTGGTTGGAAGTGGAGACTAGGCTGCAGCGGTGTGGCACAGGTGGTTCTGGGCCCCCAGAACTCTATTCTTTCCCAGCGGACGTGTTCTCTTCCTGGAAGGAAGACCGCAAGTTCATCCTGCGGGGCTGGTCTCTGGTCTTCAGCATCCTCGCAACCCTAATGGTGCTCAGCGTGGCGGATGGACGTCTGGCCTACTTGCAGGGCTCTTACACTGGCTACCTGGGCATCTGGACAGACTGCAGGAAGTACAAGTGTGCCAGCCCGGGCCAAGTCACTGGTCAGTAGGAGCCTGGACAGACTATGGGGCACATGAAGCGGGGCATCTCAGGAGATCATGAGGGGTGGGAATCTCTGGGGGAAGTTCTTTGGATGTTCTTGGGGGGAAGTGTTTAGAATTCTCAGGAGGGTCTCTGGAGATTCTCTGAAGGGACTTGTGGATAAGTCTTCTGGAGTTATATATTGCTTTTGAGGAAACAGGGAAACAGGACTTCATAGCCCATGGGAAGAGCATTACAATTCACCGGAAACCAATCTGCCTCATGATTAGATGGTTAAAGTCACCATCATTTTCTCCCTAGATTTTTAAAATAGGTTTTTAAAAATGTATTATTTACTTTTGAGAGAGGGAGCGCAAGTGGGGGAGGGGCAGAGAGATTGAGAGGGACAGAGGATCCGAAGTGGGCTCCGTGCTGACAGCAGTGAACCTGGGGATGTGGGGCTCGAACCAGCAGTGATGTGGGGCTCGAACTCACAAACCATGAGATCATGACCTGAGCTGAAGTCAGACACTCAACCGACTGAGCCACCCAGATGCCCCTAAAATAGTTTTTTAAAAATGATTTTTTTTTAAAAAAAGGAGATTTCTAGCTCCTTTGGAAACATTTTGCTTTATCGTAGGTCTTTGTGTGTTTCCTGTGCTTTTCAGCATTGCAACAGGAGGCAATCCAGAACCTAGAGCCAGAGTGCCTGGGTTTGGATCCTGGCTCAACCACTTGGTAGCTGGGTGATCTTGGGCACCTTCTTTCACCTCTCTGTGCCTCAGTTTCCTTATTTCTAAAATGGTAGTGGTAGTAATACCTATTCATGGCTATTGGGAGAATTAGCAAATTAAAACACGTAGAGGAATTAGAACAGTGCTTGGCACATATTAGGTGCTACACCAGGGTTAGTTATTATTATCCTAAGGAATTTGTTTTTCAGCCAATCCACCTACCTTCATTTCAGATCTCAAATAAGTTTATGAAACTTCCAGAATGCTTTGTGGTATTAATTTCATTTATTAAAAAAATTTTAAAATGTTTTTATCCATTTCTGAGAAAGAGACAGTGTGAGCAGGGGAGGGTCAGAGAGAGAGGGAGACACAGAATCTGAAACAGACTCCAGGCTCTGAGCTAGCTGTCAGCACAGAGCCCGACACGGGGCTCAAACCCACAAACCGTGAGATCATGACCTGAGCCGAAGCCGGATACTTAACCGACTGAGCCACCCAGGTGCCCCACATTTATTTTTTTGATATCTCTTTCTTGTATACCTCCCCAACTCAAGTTGGTGTAAGCAAGACAAACATAGTTTCAAGTTATGGAAGGGTCCAGAGGCATAGATCTATCCAGTTCAGGTACTGCTGAATCCAGGTGCTCAAAGCCTGTCATTAGGGAATCTGTCTTGTCACCTGTCTATGAAGGCTTCCTCTGTGTTGGGTCCTCAGGCAAGCTGTGGCAATGGGGTATCAGCAGTACCTAGATTCTGTCCTTTCTGTGAAAAGAGAGTGAGTTTGTCTTCTGTAGCCCTGAAACAAAGATCTCAGGATGAGCTCTGATGGGATCAGGTTTACTTCCCTGGGACTTCTCACTCCTCCGGCACTGGTTGCTCTGATCAGGAAGATGTCATGCTGTGTGTGATTGGCTGGGTCTGGATCACACGCTTTTCTTAAGAGTCAATGGAGGGGTCATTTCAGCCCCAAAGCACAAGGACAGAGGGTGGGCAGAGAGTTCCCCTGAACAGTCAAGTTGCTATTGACAAAAGAATAGAAATAGATGCCGGGTAGACAACTTTCTCCCATATTTATGATACTTTGTTGGAGCAGAATTATTCTGGGGATAGATTCCCGAGAGTGGAATAGCAGGGTTTCTGAAGGTCTGGGAAGACTTTGTAAAGCTTTGATAAGTCAGGAATCTCATGACGAGCAAAAGAAGTCAAGTAAACCTAGTTTAAGCACAAAATGGATTTATAAACAATGTTGGGGGAATTTGAAGAATCTCTGTGTGGCCAGAGAATTGGGCTCCAGGGGCCAAGTGATCAGGAACACCCCCAAAAAATTCCCTGGAGGACTGACTGGCAGGGCATACACATTAGAGCTTGCCCCTTGGGCCTGTCTCCCTAGACCTGGACTCCACTGGGGAACCTCTTTCTCGGCTGCCCTGGGACTCTGGAGGTAGCAGTGGCCACACCTACCAGAATAGAGTTCATGTCTACTTCTGGCTGCTAATTCCAAATCTAGTGTGCCTCTTCTTTACTGGTGGAGCCTGGTCATGTGCTGAGTTCTTCGCCTTAAAGGAGGCTGGTCTCCTCACTGGAAAGTGTGGATGCATACACTGGGAAAATTCCCCAGTGGTTGGCATAAAGAAATAAACTACAGGTTATGAGAGGTTTTTTTATAAGGTGTAGAAATTTAGAATTTTTATGTTCTTATTTATCCAGCTTTGCCTCTGTGACTTTACCAATTGCTTCTCAGCTTTGAGGACTTCTTCTCCCTCTAGATTGTTGGTGAACATTCAGTTCTGGTTATGTGTGTGTGTGTGTGTGTGTGTGTGTGTGTGTGTGTGTGTGTGTGTGTGTGGTAGAGTTTGAGTGTGATTTTAGTGGGTGGTATGTAGGCAACATTGAATCCTGCACTGCTTGCCAACTTATGGAAAGGATTTGAATTAGTCAGGAGAGTTTGGATCACAAGTAACAGAAACTCTAACATGAAATAGATTGAGTGAAGGAACCTATGGGCTCACCTAAATGAAAAAAGGTGGGAGTAGGAATGCTTTCAGGAATGGCTGAATTCAAGAGTCCAAGTGATAGCATCAGAAACATTACTGTCTGTTTCTTGGCTACTTGGATTGGCTTCATTCTGAAGGCTCTGCCTAGTGGCAAGTCATGATCTAGTTAGGAAAATAAATCATTCTAGATGCTTTAGAGGGTAGTGAATATAGGGGATTGATTTTATGGGTCACAGAATAGCTGAGAAGCCGAGTAGGTAATGGTGAGGCAAAGCAGAGATTAGCAATTCAAGAAGCTGCTACACCCCTAGCCCAGAAGAACAAAGAAAAGAGGTAGTATTACCAGAGTCTGGAAGCTGGAGCCATGAAAAAGGCATAGACTCATGGTGGGATTTGCTTAGAGATGGCTAGAATCACAGAAAAAAAAAAAGAAAGAAAGAAAGAAAAAGAAGAAGCTACTGCTAAAGACACCAGCTTAGGTGGGGTGGGGGTGGGGAGAGGGAAATAAATACACTGGATTGTTCTCCTGGAGCCAGTCTTCTGCCAGCGCCTCCCGTTAGCCAAAAGTACTGATAAGCTAGTGAACAAAGGAGGCTGGGAAATGTAGTCCTTCAAATACAGAAGAGGGAAGCATGGGGAATGGATCTGAGAGAAGACAGACAAATAACTAGCAGAACTGCTAACAATGTGGGCTCAAGTCTGGCAGGAAAGAGAACACAAAACGTTCCTGCAAGTCTTGTGTGGCTGGGTCACATGATCACCTCAGACCAAATATAGCGGCAAGAGCAATGCAATGCACTGGTTGGCTTACAGCTGGGGCTGAGAGTGTGGAACAGGCAGGAGGGCGAATTGGAGAAGTAAGTCACAAATGTCTACTTCTGACCAAACCACAAAGTGGGCTCATCTCTGGGTTAACAAGAGCCAGGGACTTGAATGTCATCTCAACTCTCTCCTCTCCTTTCCTTTCTTAGTTTTACTCTATCATATCTCCTATGCATCATGAGGCTGGATCCAAGGCCAGGCAGCTCCAGGCTCATAATCCTCCTGACTAGAGTAACAAGAGCTCTTGATAGCTGCAGTCAGAAAAAGTCTCAGGGCAGAACCTGATTGGTTGGTTTTGGTCATATGCCCATCTTTGGGCCAATCACCATGGCTTGGGGTATGGGGCACTGTGATTGGCTCAGGTGGAGTCATAGGACTATTTTCATGGCTCCAGAAAGCAGGGTATGTCACGAGAAGCCCTCAACCAGGATTATGTGATTGATTCCCAGAGCGCTATTGCTATTCTGTATATATGTCCAATCTTTTACTTTCTGATTATGTGTTAGAGTTATGCAGTTTGCCAGAAACAAAGCAGATGGAGTCTTAGCTCATTTGGCTGAGATAGTCTTGCACTGTTTAAAAGTAGGCAATGTAGAGAAGGGCTAAAAGGAGATGTAATTCTCAGAAAGGGACCCAAACACTTGTTCTTAAACGTGCATTGGATAAATATTCACTGAAACTGAGTGTGACTCTGTGGTTTTAGAGTATTTGGAAGTTTTTCTTGTGTGTACATCTGTGTGTATGCTCTGGGGATCGAGGTGGGTGATTTGGAGAATGTCTGTGGGGAAGACTAGGGTGTGAATGGGGGTGATATTGGAGGAGGTCTGGGTGTATAAATAGGATCACTAGAGGACCTTGGGATGTGAATGGGACAGACTTTAGCAGAAGTAGCTTGTCTTTGGAGACTAGGGGAACTAAAGTGTCTTGGACAATTTTGAGGGTGCTGTTGGGGGTGTCTGGGTGTGACACTGAGGGCATTATTGTGAGTTGTTGTGAGATGCGCTTTGGGAGTATTATTGGGATGACTTTGGAGGTGTCTATGGGGATGGCTTTAGAGATGATTGAGATGATTCTGTGGAGTGACTTTGAGGATGTGAGTGGGGATGACTTAAGGGTCATCTGTGAGGTCACCTTGGAAGAATGGGTGGGGTTGATTATGAGGGTTTTGGGGTTGACTTTGGAGTAGGCAGGGGTGATTGGGAAAACTTTGAGGGTATAATTGGGGAAATGACTTTGACTTTACAGGTGCCTTGGGTGATTCTGTGAGAGGGAGAGTCATTTTGGGGTTTCTTGGAGGGGACTTTGGTGATGGAAGTGGGGTGATGTTGAGGTTGTCTGTAGCCAAACTTTGGGGGGTGTCTTTGTGCTGCGCATGGGGCTATCAGCAGGGTGAGTTTGGAGGGTGACCTTGAAGAGCATCTGGGAATGACTCTGCAGCATTGCCTTTTCTCCCTCCAGTTCTCATCCATATGAGCATGGGCTTCATGATGCTGGCCCTGACTCTGTGTCTCATCCTCCTCCCCTCCATGTGCCTCTCCTTCCGGCCAGTCTTCCGACGCCTTACTAAGATCGACCTTGTCTTCAGTTTTCTCAGCTTCAGCACTGGTAAGTGTCGGCTTGGGGGAAGCGAAGATACCCCCAATATTTCTCCCCAGGACTTTTTGGTTTTGGGGAGGTGTATCTCAAGATTTCTGTCCTACTGACCCTCTGTCTTTGAATGTCTCCTGGGATCTCTGCCCCACTCTTTCTTTCCTTCTATTTTTTTAAATGTTGATTTATTGAGACAGAGAGAGACAGAGCCTGAGTGTGAGAGGGGCAGAGAGAGAGGGAGACACAAGAATCTGAAGCAGGCTCCAGGCTCTGAGCTGTCAGCACAGAGCCCTACATGGGGCTCGAACCCACAAACCGTGTGATCATGACCTGAGCCGAAGTTGAAGGCCCGACTGACCGAGCCACCCAGGCGCCCCACTGCCCCACTGCCCCACTCTTTCTGTGTGCCTCTCAGTTCTACTTTTATCTTACTCAGTGGGGGTGAGTGTGGGGGGGTTCTCCTTCCTGTTTCCCTCTTTCTTTCTGCTTCTATCTGGGTGTCTTTCTGTCTGGCACTGGAGTCTATGTGCATGTGTATGCACACACACCTGCCTGTCGGGGAGGCTGGGAGAGGAGAAGCTGTCTCTGTCTTCTTTCGGGGGTGGGGGGTAGGGTCCAGCCTTGTGTCCGTCTCTCCGGCCCCACCCCAGTGCAGGGTTCCTGATTGTTCTCAGCCTGACGCTGTTTGTAGTCGGCTGCGAGACGCTGCACCCGAGGCCACAGGTATCCTACCTGGTGACCACCTACCTGTGCTGGGGCGCCGGCGCCTTGATGCTGTGGGCGGGTGAGGACGGGGCCTCGGGAGAAAGGGGCGGGGCCTCGGTAGGGCAAGGGGCGGAGCCCGGGAGACACCTCGAGGCAGGGCCTGGGATCCGTAGGGGAGGACCCGAAGGGGAGGCCACCTCGAGGGACGGGGCGGGGCCTGGGGCGGGGCTCAGAGTTCAACCGCTCACCAGTCCCCCACCCCCAGGAGTGCTGAACTACTTAAACCACCTGGGCATGAGGACCCGAAGTTCGTCCTTCCAGGAACGGCGGGTGAGCTACCGTCGGTGGGTCTCGCAGCAGAACCCTCAGAAACGCGTATCCGAGCTGCCGTCCGACGCTGACCGCAAGCGCACCGTGGACCTGTCCAATACACTCACCCCCGAGGGGCACCCCCTCAAGCCTCTCTAACCACTTGGGACTGAGGTTCTCAGGAAACTGACCGGTGAACGCAGCCACATACCGGACCCACCCCCTCCATCGTGGCCACGCGCCCTAGATTAGATCTCCCTTCGAGGCCCCACTCCCGTAGAACAGGCCGCACCTTCCGAGGACCAGCGACAAAACCCCACCCCTCGAGCTAGGGTTTCCCCTTACCGGCTCCCTTCCCGCCCGGGAGTCCTCACCCCACCTTCACTCCTATAGTGAGACACCGCCCCCTCCAGTTCTGCGCGCTGCGTGCGGTGCAACCTGCTGGTGTGGCCCCGCCCCTGGGCCCAGCTAGGGCCCGCCCCTGGGTGGCTAGCCCTCTCAGGCCACGCCCCGAAGTTGCACTCCACCGTCTGAACAGCTCCCGCTCCGAGGGCCAGCCCCGCCCCTGGATATCCAGTCAGGACCCGGGCCGGTCACTACCCTGACCAGCTCTGGATGTAGCTCCGCCCTTCTGCGGAACAGGCCCCGCCCCAGAAAGGCGTGGCTTGCAGCCACATTTCTCCCCATCCCCCCACTTCCGGACTTCTCTGCCACAATAAAACCTGGGCGCCTCACAACCTCTAAGTGTGACCCTCCAAGGCGTCCTCTGCGGGGCAGGGTCGGGCCCAGCGTGTGTGAACCGGTGTGCGAACCGGTCTCGAGTCCCCCTGCCTTGCTCTTCAGGGCCTGAGCCTCTCTCTATGCCGGTTTGTCTACACCTGTCTTTGCGCCTTCCTTTCTCCCAGCTCATAAGCCTCCTGCCATGAGACTGAGAGGGCTGGAGAGGTTCTAGACTGGGCGGGGTGGGTCCCCAGCTTCCAGGCGCCAGAGTCTGGAAGGCCAGAGGACACCAAACATAAGGTGAATTTGATGCATATTGAGTTTACTGGGCTAGGAAACATGATGGGGGCATTCAGGGGTTGGCTGTCATGGTCTCTTTGATCCACTCCAGGTGCGAAAACACTTTGGTGTAGACAGCAGGCATTTTGGGGCTGCCACATGGGATGTGGCCCCAGGACGTGATTCCTTGAAACATACTATCGCAGATCAGTGGGCCCCCAGAGTCACCCTGCAGCACAAGGTGGAGAGAATGAGAAAGGTCAGCAAGGTCATGGGCGGGTTCCACCTTTGGAGGCCCAGCTCTAACACCTTGGGCTCACAAAGCTCAAGACAGTGACTCCCCAGCCCCAGGAGAGGACACAGTTCTCTCCAGGGTCCACTGCCAGAGGGCCGGCGGGATTCCAACAGGGGAGACAGCGGCTCGAGTCACGGCCAGTGGGGATGGGACGTCAGGGTCCAGTTTCTGAGCAGGAGGCAGGGTCCAGGAGAACGGTCCCAGCCGACAGATCAGTGGGGAAGAGGAGTGGGACCTTCAGGACTCATCTCTGATGTCACCTCTCCCAAAAAGCTTTCTTTGACTAGGCAGTAAATATGAGGGAGGAACAGGTGAACTCTGACGTGGAGGAGGGAGGTACCTGTGATACCAGGATGGGGGTGTGGGAAGGTAAGGGGGTAGGGGGAGGGCGCTGAGGCTTGGTTGTGGGAGATACAATTTGGAAGCTGCAGCGACAGATGCCTAGTTAGCTCTCAACAGCAGTCCAGAGCCTGAGTCCCCACCCCCAGCACCTCGAGGTCCAGGAGTGAGGGGAAGGGGGGACAGACTGGCTCACCACACAGGTGTCCTTGCCGCCCTCCAAGTGTCCAGCACACAGCATGAACTCCGTCACCTTCTGGGAGTGGGCTTTGGCACAGACTTCATTGGACAGAAGGTTGAGGTTCACACACTGGAGATCGTCTGGGTATACGACTACAGAACAGAGAGAAAATGACCCCAAGTGGCTCCTTGGCCCTTCCTCCCTCAGACTCCGGAGTCCAAGTCCCCAGCCCCTCCTCCCTACACCCAGGTGTCCGGGCTCCAGGCTGCATGGTCTGGCCTTGGCGTACACTTATCTGGTTCGATGCTGCCCCAGCCTGAGGCATAGCAGGTGCTTCCCACTTGGGGTTCCTGGGTGGGCAGGTCCAGGACCCTCACAGCGTCTGTTATCTGGGCGGGCTTGGCCAGGCGGAGCAGCATGATGTCATGGCTGTAGTCCTCTCCCGGGAGGCGGGTGTGTTTCTCCAGGAGGCTCAGGTTGAAGCCAGGGTGTGGAAAGCTGTCGCTGACCTGGACAAACTGGGCTGTGTCTTCGTGCTCAAACAGGTTGTGGCGACCCAGCCACATCTGGTAATTGCTGGGGAGAGAGGGGGCCCCAGGGAATAAGGAGAGAGGAGGGGGAAAGGGCGATGGGGAGCATGGGGGAGGGTCCCGGGGAGAGAGAGAGAAACAAGGAGTTACCATGGAGAGAGAGAGTTGGGAAGGTAAAGAGCTACAAAGAAAAGGCAATGAGTGAAAGACAGAAGGATGTGACAAGGTCAAAGCCAGAGACAAAGACAGTGAGACTGAAAAAAGAGCAGAAAAGGAGAGAGGGAATGAGAGGCAGAGGGAAGACAAACAGAGCACAAAGGAGACGGAGACAGAAGGAAGGGTCCCTGAGAAGAAGCACAGGTGAAGGAACAGACTTGGAAGAAGGAGCAGCAGGCGAGGTGCCCAAGTGACCGAGGGAAGAGGAAGCAAAGGGAGAGAGTGAGGGATTCAGGCGGTGGAGGGGGGACGGCAAGAGAGAGAACAGGAAGGGAGGACGAGGGGGCGGGGGAGGGGCCTGGGACCTGGTCAGCTGCAGCGGGGCGTGGGGCTGGTTCCCCAGCAGCGGGTGGCCTGGCCCCCAGCCCAAGGACAGCGTCCCCCTCCCTCCCCAGGCCTTCCCACCCTTTCCTCCTCCTCCTCACCCCACCCTTTCTCCTCCTCCTTTCTCCTGGGCTCCCACTAGGCTCCAGCTGAAACCAGCCCTTCCCTGTGTCCCCCGGGAGTGGATCATTGTCCTGGGGGGAGGGGCTGAGCCCATGAGAAGATCCCCTTACGGAAACATATGGGGATATTCCCTTCCTTTTCTCTGGGGTCCCCCTCAGTCCCATCCTGGGGGGTGCTCAGCAGCGATGGGGGAGAGGGAGTGAGGCAGAGACCCAGAGACAGAGATGGGGCAGAGAGATAGAGCATGAGACATACGGTGACAGGGATGCGGCAGAGGGACCCAGAGATGGACAGAGATATGGAGAGACATGGAGACCAAAGAGAGGGGGACAGAGAAGAACCTTAGTCATACAAACAGACAGACACACATCAGAGCCAGTTATGGGGAGACACAGAGAGGCAGGTGGGGGACACACAGGAGAGTTACAAGGAGAGACAAAAAGACACAGGTACCAATGGAGGGCTTTCCTGGGGCTGTGCCTGCCATTCTCCATGACCTAGACCAGTAATGTCTTTCTTTCCCTCGGTCCACCAGCCACCCCTGGGGTGAACCCGGCAGCAGTGCCCGTTGTTTCTTCCTGTGGGAGCACAGGCACCCCCTCCCCAGACCCTCTGCCTCCACTCACTCGTTTATGCAGTGGGCAGCTGTGAGCACCCACTGGGGGTGCACCAGGACGCCCCCGCACTGGAACTTGCTGTAATGGTACAGAGCTGCCTGCCAGGGTTGGGAATTCATCTTACAGTCCCAGCCTCCTATGATCCGGGACTGGATGGGGGGTGCAGCACCTGCAGAGAGGGCGCCGGGTCAGGGCAGGTGGGGAGGCAGCAAGGAGAGCCCGGAAGGCCTGGGCTAAGAGAGAGGGGGCTGTACCGGGGGGGGGGGCGGGGTTGGGGGGACATGGGTGTAGAGGAGCAAGGCTGGAGGTCTGGGGAGACGGGCAAGGGGTGTGGGAAGAACCTGGAATTCTGGAGCCTGCCCTGGGATTGTGGGTCGGTGGAAAGTTCTGCGTGGAAAGACTATGCTGAGAGCAGAGCCAACCGCAGGAGACAAGAAGGCAGGGTCTGGAGCAGCGCGTGGGGCAGGGCTTAGGTGACACAGGGGTGATCTGTGCCTCTTGATTGGGACTGGGAGAGGGTCCTCTGGTGGTCTGCGGTCCGGGGAGACGTAGGGAACTGGGGCTGGGGTCAGGACTGGGAGGGGGCTCAGGAAGAGGGAGAGCCAGATGATAGTTCTTCTGGGATTGGGTGATTCTCATGGAGACTGGGTTCACCGCGTGAGGCTAGTGGGGGCATCTAGGGTTCTCTTGGGGGTGGTGTCGGAGAGGGATGAAGATGGAGGCATGTTGGGGCCAAGCAGCTGTGGGAACGCAGGGAGGACCCACATGATGTGGGGTTTTAGAATCATATGTTGGGGTCCTGAGAGAGGTAGGGCAGGACAGCTGGACTCTGAAGTTATTTGAGATCCTGGAGGGAAGTCTAGAAAATCAGAGCTGCACAGGAGGGATTCACTTGGGGAGGACTGGAGCGTGGGCCGGGGACGGAACTTCCACAAGGAGAGGAGAACGTAGTTGGGGGTTCTGGAGGTTCTTCCTCAGGGAGAAGGCTGGGGTGCTGGATGGGGGTTCAGGGGCAACGTGGTGGGGAAGGAAGAGCCATCTGTAGAATCCTCATACCAGGAGGGGCAGGGGGCCCACCTGGAGTCATGGACTAGAAAGTCTGTTTGGAGAGAAGTGTAGGTGTCTGATGGAGTTTAGGGGTCTTGGGAAGACTTGAGGGGAAACAGATGCCAGGCACTGGAGGAGCTGGTTGAGAGCCGACAGCTGGATGGGAAAAATCTCCAGGGTGTGGAAGGATCTGGGACTCAGGAGCCCGAGCCACAGACCACAAGTGGGTAGAAGAAGGCTATCAGGGTCCCAGGATGTGCTGGGATAGGGGGCATTCCATGCAAGAGCTAGAGTCCCCCAGACAGAGACCCAGAGATGTCCCAGGCTCTGCCCCTTTGGTAAGGTGGCTCAGGACAGGGGTCTAAGTGGGGAAGAGGAGAAAATTCTGGGGGTTCCTGGGAGGGAGCAGGGACCTAGTGCAACAGTGAGAACCGTGACTGGAGAGGAGGGGCTGGGAGAGGGCCTGGGACCCGGGTCTGGGATGGACTGTAGGGGAGGAAGAAGTTACTGGAGGTGAGGGCAGCATGAAAGTGGGGCCCACTCTCCCCCTCCCCCTCCCATCCCTCTGTCTCACCAGCCCCCGCCAGGGACAGGGCAAGGCACAGAACCAGGAACCACATGGTGACCACAGGCAGGCAGGTGGTGAGCTTGGAGCTCAGGAGCCTCCCCCAGGAGCACTTTAAAGCCTTCATCCACATCCCCCACCCTGAGGACCCGCCCCTGCCCTGCTGGCATCCAGACGCTGGCCAAAGCCCTGCCCCTGCTGCCTCCTGGGGGCTGGACACCTCCTCCCACCCCAGAGCTGTGGAAGGGGCGGGAGAGCAACCACCTGTTGTTCCGTGAGCCCTGATTGTGCTGGAAGCATTCCTGGGGCCTGAGGCCAGACAGGGCAGGGCCTGGGGCTCCTGGGCCCATGCTCTTGGAGACACAGCCAGTGAGGGGAGGTGTGGTGGGGGGGGGAGTGGAAGAAGAAACAGGAGCGTGGAGGAATCCCTGACCTCCAATACAAAGTCCGATATATACCTGGACCCCGAGGAAGGTCACACACCCGAAGACCCAGGGTATCCTCAAACAGCAGCTGTGGGGCTCTGATTCCCTTCTTCCTGCACTGCTTGGAGTCAAGATTGGCATCTTGGTGTCCAAGCTTCAGCTGCCTTCGAAATGTAAGGCTTTCAGAACACTCTGATTCTTGCATTCCCAGACTCAGGATCTAGGTCCCTATCGTTTTTCTCCAAATAAAATCTTAGGGTACCTACCACCACAATCCTATTGCACCCAGATCCAGAAATGGGGTTTCAGTGGTCTCTCTAAGTAAGTTCCCTAGCATTTCAAAATGCAGTGTCCCCCGCTCCCAAAACAACATTGGGATCCCATCATACGCCACCGCTACTCCTTGAGCATCCAGATCCGGACGCTCAAGATTAGGTCCCTCAGAGTCCCAGGAATTCCAGACTATCTGCCTCCCAAGGTCAAGAGAGTCGTCTCTACAAATTCTAATTCCCCTTCCTTCAGTAGAATATTTAGGTCTCATGAGCCAGGTTCATGTAGTTCAAAATTCATTGACCTTGAAGATCACATTTTGGGGGGAATCTCTGTTGAGAATCAGGAACCAGATTTCTGCAGCCTCAATGGTAAACTCATAGGCTTCTGACACATTCTCTTTTCTCTTCAGTAAAATCAAAGTAGGTCACAGGTTAGCCCAGCCTCTGGTGTATGTCAGGAGTCTGCTTAAGGAGAAGGAGAGTATTTGCTTTTTGCCTGGCTACCAGGAAGCCCACAACTGAAGCTTGAAGTAAATGAAGTCATTCTTGATCATCTAGCATGTGCTGGAGGTCTTTTCCCCTGGGGTCCAGAGATATATTTGCCCTGTGCCAGGCACTATTAGAATCAGTTCATACGAACTTCCTCATTTAATCCTTATAACACTGCGAGGTAAGCAATAAGATGATCTCTGTTTCAAATATGGGGAAACTGAAGCTGAGTGGCATTGAGTCTTTTCCTCAAGATTACACAGCTGATCCTGTGTGTATGTGAATGAAGAGAGCCTTGCTTCAAGCCATTTCTCTTCACCTGGCATCGGGGCAGTAGGTGAAAAGGAGCAATGTACAGTGGCCTTGGGCTCCCCACCCAGTCTCTGGCTCCCACTTCCCTTCATCCCCAGAAGAAAGTCACAGAAACTCCTACAGAGAAACTTGCATCAGCACTGTTATCTCAGTGTTCAAACAGGTGACCTTGAGCACCAGCTCTGGACAAGTCCTTGGCTAACATGTGCGTCTTGGACAAATGGGGTCTTGTGGGATGGCTCAATTCTGTCCCAGGTCAGGATGGGGTGGCTGGACAGCTACGGGAGCTTTTACTCAGTCAGAGACACAGGTGGTAGACCGAAATAGTCAGTTCCTTTTCATGGTTTCCCTGATCCATCCCAAGTAGCTGCAGACTTTGGTATAGACACCAGGCTTGGTAGTAGAGTCACAGGGGACGTCACCCCAGGACACAATGCCCTGCAGGACTCCCCCACAGACCAGGGGCCCCCCGGAGTCACCCTGTGGGGAGAAGAGAAAGTCTGAGTGGGAAACTTCTGGATCCAGTGCTCCCATCCTTATCCTAATCACTGTGCACAATCTCAATCAAAACCCAATCCGACCCCACCCCATGCAATCCCACCCCAACTCAAGTCAATACAACCCAACTCAACCCCAACCTAGCACAAGTCAATACAACTCAGCCAATCCATGTTCAATCCCCACCATGTAACCCCACCCCCCACCCCACCCCCACATCTTCCCCATTCAAAATCAAACCAGACCTGTGTCCATCCTTACTGCCAACACAACCAATCCCAGTTGTTATGTCTTTCACATCCTAGACAAAACTTACCCCATCTGCACTTCAACCCAACATATTTTCCTTCTAAAATCAAACCAAGCCCATTCCTATTCTCGATTCAGACCCAGGCCACTCCAAACCAACCACCACATCATCCACCCCAAACACAACCCAGCCCTATTCCCATCTCTACCCATCTCCAACTCCACCCCCTTCTAATCGCTCATCCCTCTCCATCCCCAGACCTACCCCTGGCATCTTCTCTGGGCCAAAGCAAGCACAACCCGACCCCATCCCACGACCCAAGCCTGTCCCCCTACCCCATGGCTCTGACCTCACAGGAGTCCGTGCCTCCGCCCTCTACTCCTGCACACACCATAGTGTTCATGAGGCGCCCTGGGTAGTCCTCGCTACAAGATGTGGCCGGGATGACGCTGATGTTGGCACAATGCAGCGTATCTGGGAGACTCACTGGGGAGGACAGTGAACTTGGAGTGAATCTAAATTTTCAGGCCCTTGTGTCCTTCACCCAAGAACCCGGGAGCATAGGGTCCCTGGAGGCCTGACACCCAGCGCCGTCCTTTCACGCACCTTTTGGCCTTGTGTTCCCTTTGGCCCCCGCCTTGTCATCAGCCACCAGGCCCCAGCCGGACACCACGCAGGCCTCGCCCGGCTGGGGACAACGCGTGGGCAGCTCCACGGGACGCACTTGCGGGGAGAGGTGCGCGGGCCGGGTTAGGCGTAGCATCATGATGTCGTGGCGATGGCTGCGCGCTTCGTAGCGCGGGTGTGGGACGACGCGAGCCACAGTCCGCAGCTGCTCCGGGCCATCGCGCTTGCGCAGATTGTGCTCGCCCAGGAGCACCCGCATGAAGCTGTGCACGGGCGTGGGTGATTATCGGCAAGGGCAGTGAAGAGTAGACAGAAAGATCAAAAAGCCCGCAAGCTGGGGTCCTTCGTCCACCTGGGAATCTGGAGATGCCAGTACCCTCTCTTCCTGAGGCTCTGAAGCCCGAAGTTCTAGCCCTTGGCCCTCAGGGGCCACCGAGGTGCGCACATCCGGAACTCCACCCCCAGGCTCCAGCTCTTTCCTCCTCAGAATGCAAGATTCTCAGATCCCTAGACCCGGGGCATCCTGCCCTCAGGACCCTGAGCCCTGCCTTCATACCTGGTTTGGCAGTGGGCTGCAGACAGCACCCAGTGTGCAGAGATGAGGGAGGCGCCGCAGTTAAAGCGTCCGCCCTCGAAGAGGGCCACTTGCCACGGCTGGGAGTGGGGCTCGCACTCCTCATCTCTCAGCGTCTTGGCGGAGTCGTGCTGGGCTGCTGGGAGAGGAGGCAGAGGAAGACCCTTCAGGACAGAGTCTTTTCACCTGTCACACCTTGCATACACCCTGTGCTTTCTCCCCAATATCTTAGGATGTCCCTGTCCTTGAATTTCAAGTACCGTCTTCTCTTTGGCTTTGATAACTGCTGCTTGTTCTCTCCAGGACTGTCCCCTTGCCCTTGGCCGTCACCTGTTTACTACAAGATTCTGGGAGAGCGGGTATGTGGGAAAGGACCAGAAGGCAAGAAGTCCTCTGGGATTGGAAGTGGAGACAGGGTCACTGGATATGGCTCCGGAAAGATAGATGGTCACTTGGAATCGGCCATTCAAGGTCACCGAGCTGCCACAGACATCAGATGGATGTGGCCATTCAGTATGTATGACACACAGTCTTGGCTCCAGAGTCTGGACATCTCAGCCAAACGCAGATGTGGCCATACAAGGTCATGGGCAAACATACAGGTACAAGCAGTCTTCCAAACTTAGGAACTGATGTAGACAGCACTTTAACCTGAAAATCACTTGCATATAGATGGGCTGCAGCTTCAAGGATCACAGCACAGAGATTCATATGCATATATGAGTCTGGACAGTCCCAGTGTGGGTGTGTATGTGGACACACACACATGCACAGACATAACGTGTGGACACAGAAGCTCACATCTAAATTTACAGTCTCCTGTGTGGGTCTGAAGATACTAGATCACAGACTTGCACACTAGCACCCAGGAGCTGGACAAAAAGGTGGGGTCCTTAATAAGGGTACATGAGGGGAAACACAGGTATGCACTCAGGGTCCCAAAGATTTGTGCACAGACATGAGTCTAAGTATAGTGATTAAATCTGGAATGTTAGAGAAAAACCCCTGTGTGCAAACATGTTATATGTGAGCCTTTGTGCAAATTATTTGGCCTCTCTGAGCCTACATTTTCTCATCTGTAAGATGGGATTGTTGTAAGGATTAAATAAGAAAGGGAGAGGGGAGGGTTGGGTGGGGAGAGATGTCTGGCTTATTGTAGCTGCTTTATAAATACTACTTATTTATTTATTTATTTATTTATTTATTTATTTATTTATTTATTTCTAGGAGAGAGAGACAGCGTGAGCAGGGGAGGGTCAGAGAGAGGGGGAGACACAGACTCCGAAATAGGCTCCAGGCTCTGAGCTGGCAGTCAGCACAGAGCCCGACGCGGGGCTCGAACCCACGAACCGTGAGATCATGACCTAAGCGAAAGTCGGACGCTCAACCGACTAAGCCACCCAGGCGCCCCTAAATACTACTTATTTTAAACAAAGGACATGTAGATTTATTTATGCAGACATATATGTGGATGTTCAGGTAGGTTCTGGACAGAAATTTAGCCAAAGTAATTCAGACATATGACCAGGCTCAAATGAAGATAATCAAGGTCAAAACTGTGATTCATCCTCAAGTCACTTTGTGGGGATTCAAAGTAATAGACACTGACCCAGAGGACAAACACTCAGATGTGGACCCACTAGATCACACCCCAAGGAAACAATGGACACAGAGCTAGGCATCCAAGGTCAAAGACATAGCCAGAGGCACAAGACAGGACATGTTTTCCCATTTCTAGACCTGTCCTCTGGTCAGTCACTTGGTGTTCAAGGTCACTCATTGGGTTTCACATAGGGGACCTGGTTCATACATGTGGGCAGGATGTGGACACAGAGGGCCTTGAAAACCCACCACACACACACACACACACACACACACACACACAGCACTGCAGCATTGTGCCATGCACAAGGATATAAACAGGGATGTTTCAAAGTCACAAGACCATGACCTGCTACTGCGCAATGGGGATGTGAGCCCTCAAGATCACAGCCAAGCACACAGACAACCACACTGGGGCAGGAATTTGCACAGCTAGACAAAATGCCTACACTCCGCCTGCCAGGGTCAAGAACTGGGCCAAGGGCCCTGGCAAGGGTGGGGGAATGCGGATGTGGTAGACAGGGGGCTTAACAAGGCAAGGGTGGGGTTCTCCTGCAAAGGAGGACAGAGGGTGCGGGCTGAACAGCTGGGCATCGAGGCTGCATCTGGCCAGTCTAAGCCGGAGGAGGGTGGAGGCCCTGGCTGGGTGCAGCGGCAGGCGGGCGGGAGGCAGGGAGGAGAGAGCACAGAGAGAGCCTGAGGGGAGGCTGGCAGCAGGGGGGAGCTTCAAGGGGCCCCCAGAGGCGAGGGTCATGTGGGGATATAATGAAAGTCCACCCTCAGTTTCTCTAGGTAGAGGCATCAGGTTACAGTTAAATTCTCCATGGGTGGTAGCTGAACATGGTTTGGAGTTTTCCTGCTACCCAGGGTCACCTTGACATTGTGGCCGCCCCTCTCCAGCCTCAGCCCTCTTCCCTGTCAAGTGAGGCCAGTAGTGTCTACCCCATAGAGATGTTTTTGAGAATCAGATGAGCCCTGGCATATACCCAACACTCAGAAATGCGAACACCCCCTTTCAGGGCACTGCCCTGGATCAAGTCCCTTCTCGTGCCTCACACACAGGACCACGTTTAATCCTCATACCCCTGGGGGCATCTGTTCTTATGTCCATGGTACAGTTGGGGATCCTGAGTCGCAGGGATGTTAAGTAGCTAGAAAATGGTGAGTTAGAATTCGAACCTGGAGTCTGTGCTCTTGGCCTGTTAACACTTGTTGAATGCTTATTATGAGCTTTCTCTACATTATGCTATTGAAACCTTGCTGGGTAGGTGCTGTCTTGTAGAGAAGGCACTCTTGGTGGAGAGAGAGGAAGTAATTTCCTCAAGGTCACACAGCAAGGAGGGGGCAGCCCCAGGCCTTGAACTTAGGTCTGTGTCATCCCCAGAGCTGATTTGTCGGCAGCAGCGAGAGACCCAGTTGGCATGGGAGCAACCCCAGACCTCTGACAGCTCTTGGGGTACAGTGAGCACTCAGGAGCATCGGTGGTTGGGTGGGGTGGGGGAGGAGTAGGTTTGGGGGCACTGGCAGACTGTAGGGCCTGGATTTGCTCCTGATGGAGAGGAAGGGTACCACACTCCCACAGACCCAGACCTGACCTGGGCCCACCTCACCTGACGTCAGCAGGAAGGAGAAGGTGAGGAGACGCCACATTATGGAGAAGGGATGAGGGTTCTGCCAAAGTCTGGGGAGGGGAGAGAGTGAATGGGGGCAAGTCTGGACGCTTCTGCCCTCACCTGAACCCCTCTGAATACGAACACACCCATCCCACCTGCTGCTTGAGAAACTTCTTTCACCATCTTGGTCCCTCCCACCCCCACCTCAGACTGTTCTTCCCACCCCCCACAGGTTCTCCATCTCTGAGGGTTCCTGCTTTTCCTTCAGGCACCAGAACAGGACCTCAGGTGCCCCCTCAGCCTGTCTGCCCCAAGCCCCATCCCACTTGCCCCTGGATCTCTCAGGATACATTCTCCCCCAGACCCTAATCCCAGCCTCCTGTCTGGTCTCCTGGGGGTGTGCTCCCCTGTTTGCCCCTCCAGTCAAGTTCACACTCCTCTAGCCTGTTCTCCTAGATGCCCCTACGGGGTCTTTCCGGACTCAGAGTTGACCATGTCCGACTCCTGCCTATAGCCCTCATGGATACTCAACTCCCCCAGGGTAAGGTCATAGCTCCCCAGCCTCACTTTTGAGGTTCTGAGTGGTTTCTCCCTTTCCAACCCCTCTGACCAGGTCTCTCATGACCTTGTCCTTCTAGACACAGCTGATTCTCCCAAATTCCTTCCCGCGATTTCATGCCTCCCTGACTTTGCTCAGGCTGCTCCTCCTCCCAGGTATGCCATTCCCTTCAAGGTCCACTTCCTTCTTGAAGCCTTTTCTGAACTTCTCTGGTCCGTAGTGTGTACCTTCCCCACCAGACTGCAAACTTACTGAGGACCAGCCTGGCCTGACTGGACTCTGAATTCCCAGCATTCCCTAGTGAAGGGTCCAGTCCATGGGAGGCCCCAGCAAGCTTTGGGAATGAAGGAAAACCTTCCCCTCATCTTCTGAATTCATATTTGCCCCCCAAGGCTCAGCCCCCACCTCTTCTGGGATGCCCTAGGACCCAACAGGTATCTTTTCTGGGCTTCTCAGCCCTGGTTCTGCCTCTATCACATCACAGATCCCCTGAAATACTCAGGCAAGGTCCTCTCTGTGTCCCCAGCACTGCCCAGCCTGGAGCCTGCCACACGGGACACCTTGGGGAGGTTGAGCTGACCTGACCTGAATCCCTGATAACTCCTGACTTTGTTCTTGGCTCTGATACAGGTGCCTTTGGGGACGTTCTCCTGATTGACTCTATCCCCACCTCTCACCTCCCCACCCCCATCCCCCGCAGCTCCTTGCATCTCCAGGACATTTTCTTGGTTCAGGTTCAACTTGGGGCCTCAGTAAAAGATGCATGAAATTACGCAGGTGCCCTTGAAACTCAATTCCCTCAGGGCAGCCCATGTCTGTTCCCGGGGCCAGGGCACCCAGTGCCTCTTCTAGACCAGGGCAGACCTGTGTCTCCTTGAGTGTCTCTCACCTCCCCCACCAACCAGACTTTTGTCTCAAAGATCTCACCCCCTCCAGATCCTCCAGCTTCATCTGGGACAGCTTGGATGCCAGAAGAAGGGGAGCATGCATTTGAGTACTGAATTTATAAGCTCCCAGCCCCACCCGGATCTAGGGGGTAGGGTGGGGTGGGAGGTGGTTGAGAGTCAGGTTTACAGGCGGGGACGCCTAGGTGGCTAGTGGGGTGGGGGACAAGGCCTAATGAGCATTTATTAGGGTGAAGCTTTTGTCTGAGTCTGTAAGGAAGAATTCCCTGCTAGGGACAGTTCTTCAAGGGACAGGGAGTAGGAGGGCAAGAACCCCAAATCAGAGATCAACATATAGGACCAGGAGTCTGGAAGCTGGAATTTGGGGTATAGGGAGTGGAAACTGGATTCTAGAGTCATGCTTTTTGTGCTTGGAGTAGGGTTCTGAATCTTGGATTCTGGATGTGGATCTGGATTCCCAATTCTGGATGCTGAACCTTGGATCTCTGGTTCTGAACAGTGGATTCTGCATCTGGATCTCCACTTCCCTGATCTTGAATTCTGGATTCAGATCTCTGATTCTGGATCTTGGTGCCTGAGCTTCCTAACTCTGGATTCTAGATATTGGATTCTGGACCTTGGATTTTGCAGTTTTTGCTGTGGATTTCCAACTCTAGACTCTGAGTTTGGAGGTCTAGAGTCAGGCATTTATGACTTGAAGTATAGAGTATGGATTTTGGAGTCTGAATTCTGGAGTTTGGGTCTGGAATATGGATCCTAGTGTCTGGTCTTTGAGTGACAGGTCTTAGTCTTGGATCCTAGAAGCCTTTGACTCTAGAGTCCAGACTAGGCATCTGGAATTTGGTGTTTGGAATCTGAGACTTGAGGTCAGAAACCTCATATCTGCTGTGTGAAGCCTGGGGGCTGGAGCACAAATGGCAGATTTTGATTTTTGAGTTTTGGGGCCTGGATTCTAGAGTCTAGGTCTAGACTTTAAGATTTCCTTTTTTTTTTTTAATGTTTTATTTATTTCTGAGAGAGAGAGAGAGACAGCGTGAGCAGGGGAGGGGCAGAGAGAGAGGGAGACACAGAATCTGAAGCAGGCTCCAGGCTCTGAGCCAGCTGTCAGCACAGAGCCCGACTTGGGGCTCGAACCCACAAACTGTGAGATCACAACTGGAGCTGAAGTTGGATGCTCAACCGACTGAGCCACCCAGACGCCCCTAGACTTTAAGATTTCATGGATTAACTTTGTAGTGTAAGGTCTGGAGTTTCATATCTGCATTGTGGATTTAAAGGGCTGGACTGGGAAATATGGGCCTGAGTTCCGTGAGTCAGAGATGCCTAGACTCTTGACTCTATGGTATGAATTTAGACATTGGAACAGTGCAGTCCTTGATCTGGATCCTCCAGTCTTGATTTTGCATTTTGAGGCTTGAAATCTTGATTCTGCTTTCTCAAAGCTGGAGATCATTATTAAAGTGACTCAAAGCTTTGGGAATTTGAAGTTGTCCTCCAGTATCTCAGGGCCATAGGAGGGCCCTGAGCAATTTTGCAGAGTCTATCCTGGCTTGTTTAACTAATGAGGAGGCACAGAGAGCAGGAGGGACTGACCTCAGATCACCCAGTGAAGGATGGGACCTATTGTAAACAGGGTCCCTCCCAGTATCTGGAGAGCCATCACCTGCACGGAAAGGGGCTGCATGAACAGGGCTGACTGTTTTGGGGATCAGTGGCCAATCCCTACAGGTCCCTGGCCCTTGATTATCCTACGTATAATATATGAGAATGATGTTTTTCAGACATTCCAGAATGTCTGACCCTCAGTTATCCCAGAACCTTAGGGTCTCAGTTATTCTAGAACCATAGCAACCCCCATCTCTAGAACACCAGACCTTCAGATTCTAGAACCTAGTGTCTAGAACCTAAGATACCCTGAAAGTCTAGGTCCTCAAACACTTTAGAACCCAAGAGGTAAAAACAGTCTAGAACCTCAAACCTCTAGACATTCTAGAACTCTAGATCTCCAGATATTCGGGGACCCCCAGACATTTAGACATTCTGGATTCCCAGGCTGGAAAGTATTCTAGAACTCCTTTGTCACTGGCTACAAATTCATGCTGAAAGTCTCTAGGCCTCACTGTGGGCCACAGCTTCAATTGAGCAATTCCTGTTTACATGATCTCATTTATCCTCTTGACAGCCCTGTGAGGTGATTATAGCTTCCTTCTTACTATGGAGAGAACGGAAGCCCAGAGAGGGGCGTCATAGGCAAAGGCCACGCAGAAGGTGCAGAGAAATCTAGTGTTCCAACTCTTGGAGCACCCAGTTGGCCCATTCACCCCAAACCCGGGAGCCACCTTCCATTGTTGGACCTGGGTGGGAGGCGAACCCCTGGGAAATTAATCATCATGAGAGCTTCCTGGTGCCAGGCTAAGCGCTTTCCATCATGATCGTATGTGTTCCTCCCACTAAGTCACGCAGGCAGGTGCTGTAAGCGTCCCCGTGACACAGATGGGGACACCGAGGAAACGCACACCCAGCTCAGCCCAGGCTCGCGGGCTCACTGGGAGGGCGCCTGGTTCCGCCCCCGACGCGGTGACGTCTGCGCCCCTCTTCCCGCCCACTCGGACCGCGACAGACGTGGGCTATCGATCCTAGTCGTCCTCGGCATCTTTCCAGTTGCCCTTCACCTCCAGCGGCAGGCGGAGTCCCGCCCTCTGCCTCGCTCCTCCTCCTCCTCCTGCGAACACTCCCCGGAGCCTTTCTTTGTGGTTCAATCACAAGCCACGCAGGTCTCTTTCATCTGACCCTGAACTCCGCCTGTGGCAGCCACCTGCGCCTGGGCTCCCCCCCCACCCTCGTCCCCAGTGTCCCCAGGCCCTCCTCGCTCAGTGTGTCCTAATTGATTTGTCTCTCCCCAAACTCCTCCCCCCTTATTTCTCATCTCAGGGACAGCTCCACGACCACCCAGTTCCCCCAGGCACTGTCCGCACCACGTCTTTCCCCTTATCCCCTGCAGCTCAGCGGTCCCCAACCCCATCCCTTCTCTCCATTTCCTTGGCCTGGGTGCAGCTCAGGCATACTCTGCTTCTAGATCTTTGCCTCAAGCCTCCCTCCCAGTCATCTTCAGGTGGCCTCAGAAGGTCTCACTGCACTTAAGGTCTCTCTACACTAAGTTGACCCCTTTCCGGCTCACAGCCCTTCTGTGGTGACTCTGCATCACCGCTGGACAAGGTTCCTGCCCTTGAGGCTGGGATTCCCCTGTCTGAACAAGACTCATCTTGAATCCCTCCTTCAAGAAGTCACTGTGCCCTGGCTGCCCTGGCTGGAGTAGCACTGGCTTCCTGGGGCTCGAGGCTTTCCCTTTGCCCTTCCTCCTTCATTATGGGACCACTTGAAGGTGGTGTTTCAGGGTACTGGGTCTAGAGTTAGGGCTCAGGCCCCTGCTCCCCCATTTGCTAATTTGGGAGATTCTGGTATGTGTCTTCCCTTCCTTGTGCTTCTGATTCTCAACCTTAAAATCAGGTAATCAGAGGACCCCATCATAGAGTTTTCCTAGGAGCATCTAATAACTAGTGCATGTAAGGAGCT